CCACCCTTCCATGGAAACCGACCTAATATCAACCCGCAGATGAATATACAGAGGCCTCCATTTCCCCCTATACCAGATCTAGAGATAGCACCAAATCTCTTCCCCTTTCCATCTGCGGGTCAGAACCCAGTAGACTTCCTTAGCAGCTTCCTCCGAAACCAGACCATTGGTCAACAAGGAGGTGAGTCATATAAGCATATAATTAATAAGCTGTTCTTATAGGTTAACTGCCTTTTACTTGTTACTGACTTTGCAAAACTTTGTGTCTTTGTTTTTTTTTCAATTTGGTAGACCCTAGTCTGGCTTTCATACAGAACCTCCAGCAACAGATTGGTGCAGAGTCACAGTTGCAGTCTTTACCACCAGCAGTACAGAAAGCCATCCTTTTACACCTGACACAGCAGCAGCAACAACAAGAGTCAAATCCACAAGGGAGTGAAGCACAGAGAGCAGATGGCCAGGATGAAAATGCAAGCAGAGGCAAGTGTCCATGGACAGCTTTATTGAGTTAATTAAGATTAAATGAAACCCAGGGAGCAAGATTGGAACAAAGTGACCTACACAACTCAGAATTATCTAAATAAGTGCTTATACACAGATAACACCAAAAAGACTCTCCTTTAAACTTTCTACCTCTACTGGTAGAAGCTAAAAAACAACATCCAGTTTTGGAGGACACTCCCTTTCTCATTGATAGGACGAGTGAACTCAATAAGGATGGTCTTTCTCCTGCAATATCTGTATTTGGTCCAAAATATCCCAATTTTCCTGCCCATAGCTTTCTTCAAAAAGCTGGATGCAATTATTATGCCGTTTATATGGAACTACAAAACACATAGAATAAAAAAGAACATCTTTGCAAACACGGATCCCTTGGAGGAGTTGCACTACCTAACTTTATGCATTATTACTGGGCATCAAATTTAAGAATAATTTCCCTCTTACTGGATGATACAGCGTTACTCCCCCATGGTCTGCAGATGGAGCGGGAGGACTGCCTTCCTTACTATGTTGGTGGAATATTACTTTCTCCTACTCCCTTGACAAGTGCATACTATAATTATAACCCAGTGATCCATACCATTTTGCGAATTTGGAAACAAATAATTAAGCACTTTAAACTGAAACCATTATCAATGAGTATGTCTGTTACAGCTAACCCCTCTTTCCTTCCATCATGTGCAGACGGTGCTTTCAACGTGTGGCATGAACTGGGAATTCGTAAATTAAAAGACTTGTATTCAAACGATACCTTCATGTCATTTCAACAATTAGGTAAAAGATAGATTTGGACTACCGCGCAGCCATTTTTTTAGAGATCTTCAACTACGAAATTATATCCGCACACATTTGCCGCAGTTTGAAAGCATGCCGTCTGACACCTTGGATAGATGCCTTAGTGATAGCTGGGGTTCGAACAGAGAATCTGATTGTTCTATAACTCACTACAGGAGATGAGTGTACCTTCAACTCATTCAATTAAAGAGGAGTGGGAAAAGGAATTTGGGATGTCCCTATCGGAAGATTTTTGGCAGGAAGTCTTACGCAACATAAATACGCTTTTTATTAATTCCCGTCGTTCCTTAATTCAGTATAAAATTGTACACAGGTTACATTACTCAAGGTAAAGACTTCACAAAATTTATCCAGACTGCTCTCCCCTCTGAAAAAAATGTATGACACATTAGTAGTTTTGCACTTTGTCCAAGGCTTCAGGGTTTTTGGTGTGACATTTTTACTTATCTATCTAATATTCTTAAAAACAAGATTGATCCAAATCCAACAGTAATTATCTTTGGGATCTCCAAAGAAACACAAAGCTTACAACATGCTCAAAAAAGGTTTATGTCATATGCGCTGATCATCGCAAAGAAACTGATCCTGCAGCTTTGGAAAGGCCTGTGTTAAAGATGTGGCTTGCAGAGCTTACAAATACACTTCACCTTGAAAAAATAAGATATACCATGAATGGCAATGTGAAAGATTTTGAACTAATTTGGCGTCCTTTACTTGCATATCTTGGGAAAATATAAGTTTTTGGCAGTCGGGGGGTCTTTTTGTTTTGTCTTGTTTTGTTTAGAGAAAAAGGGGGCACAAGTTCTATTAACTTGTAACAACTGTGATACTTGCTTCTAATAAAAGATATTTGAAACAGAAAAAAAAGACTCTCCTTTAAATCTGATTTATTTGTTTATTCATGTTTTTTTGCAGATGAAACTACAAACTGGTACTCGAGCGATGATGAGGATGGGAGCTGTGTTTCCTCCATTCTTAAATCGCTGAAGAGACAGAATGAGATGCAGCAGTCTCAGCCCAAGACCGCCCCGGTGGCTCCAGCACTGGGTGACCCCCGCCTCGTTAAGGAAAGGGCTCCACCCAGTGACCCACGTGTCAAGGCTGACCCTAGACAGCGACCCCCAGATATGAAAAAGGAGCCAGATGGCGCTTCGGATCCGCGGCTTTCCAGAGACCCCAGGAAAATGAGACCAGTGGAACCGAGCTCATATCGGCAGCAGAGCCATCCTGTTCATCAAAAGCCTCTTACAGGAGAGGAGGATGACGAAGGAGAGAGGGAACTCAGGGACAGGGCTGTTCTCATTCCTTTAGATGCCAGCCCAGGTGTGGTCCTGAGAGACCCTCGATGCCAGTTAAAGCAGTTTAGTCATATTCGTGTTGACATTCTGCTCCAGCGGCCTGCCTTTGCTCAGACAGTTGTGTGGACCCCTGAGGATCTCATCCCCTCCTTAGTGCCCAAACAGGAACACTCCATCAACCTGCCTCTTCCACCTCTAATTGCTGATGCTCAGATGAACCGAACAAGCCTGCCCGACCACCCCCCAGTCTCCAGCCCTCCGCTATCTGATCCCAGACTTGCAGCTGCACGTTTGAAGGAACGTATGAGCCGACTGCCCACTGGTTCTCTAGAGTCACGATCTTCTACAGAGAGACCTGTAGACCCACGCCAGCAAAAGTCTTTGGACCCCAGACTCAAACGTACAGCCAGTCTGGACTCCAAGCTGCTGGGTCCGAAAGAGCAGTCCTCTGGGGCAGGACTTTTGGACCCCAGGTTACAGAAGGCCAGTGCCAGTCCCTCTCCTCACGCTGCCCGAGCCAAGCCAGAGCCAGAGAAGCTTCCACCTTATGCTCCTCGACTGGCGTCCTCTGGTGGAGGGTTGGAGAGTCCCACTACGATCCTGGGAGGCATCAGCCTGTATGATCCTCGTTCCCAAACCGAGCAAGTTCAGAAGGAGCAGTTTGAGCCTCCTAAAAAGGCGGGGATTCTTAAACAGGCTGCTAAGAAAGACAGCACTCCAGCACCGTCTCTATCACCAACCCAACGAAGCGGCTCGTTCGAAGAGGCTAAAAGCACAGATGCTGCAGATCACACTCCAGCTTCCACTTCTCCCACTGTGCCTCCTGCCTCGCCTGTCAAACCCCCTGCTGTACATAATCTCCCCATCCAGGCTCTGGCTGGGCTAATCCGACCCCAGTACACTGACCCGAGGCAAGCTAAACAGGGAGGACAGGGCTCTACAGGAGCACAGGAAGAGGCAGAGGACAAGAAGGAGCAGGAAGAGGAGGCAGCTCCAGAGAAAGAACCGAAACAAGAAGATCCAGAGGAGGAGGAAGAGGAGGAGGCAGATGACAGGACACTTAAAGATGTGTTCAAGACTTTTGACCCCACCGCTTCCCCTTTCTGTCAGTAAACACTCAACTGTTGATTGCAACAGATATGTTTGTTGATGACACATTAATCTTTATTTAGCTTTACATAAATCTATTTATTTCTTTATATGATGCTGTAGAAAACCAAACACTACGCCACACATTTATCAGTAAGGAGATGATGCTGGATACAGACACAGAGTATAGTTCCCTGTAACTATGTCATATTAAAGCTCAGAGGCGTGTTTTGAATGTGTGTATGGTAAGGTTTCTATTGTGTCATTTTTACACACGTTCTAAACAATCAGAGGAAATAAAAAGATGTGAAAGTTTTACTAAAGCCTGACCCAGGTGTTGTTAAGTCAGCTTGGGGCTCGTTCCATTGAACGACCTGATAGTCACTTTCCACGCAGAGAGATTATACAAAGTAATCAAAAACACAATAATTTCCTGGGGGGGGATTTTTGTATTTACATATTTATTCACGGACACTTTCATATATTGAGATCTACTGTATATGTTGATGCCTGTCTTTATGATAAGGGATTTTTTTTAAACCATTTACATTTGTCATTTTTCAGTTGCTTATGCGTTCGGGTCAGATAATCAAAATTGAATATTTTCAATGTGAGTTTTCGATTACATTAGTCTAATTTTCCCTTTTCACACTTTTGAAACTCTACACCTAAGCTAGCTTGCAGAAGTCTTTGCACTAAAATAGACAATTTCCGTCTTTAGTGACTACATTGTTTTTTGGTTCAGGCGGTCTGAATCTTTTGAGGATGTTTTAACCTTTTCTAACAAACATCGCTGCTCCTCACATCTCTCGAAGAAGCTTGTAAGTAGCAGGGAAAATGTTACGTGTTTTCCAACACGCTGTCAGTCAGCATAAGAAATCGATAAAGTTTTCCAGTGTATTATACAGAAAAGTAGTACTATCTTAATAACACTGCAGTTGTATGTATATATGTTACAAATGTGACCTTGATGACTATTTTTACTGTTGAATTTTGTCGAATATGAACCTAAAAGAGGCTATAAATATACATGTGCTACAAAGACTGAAAGTTGTAGACGTAAGATGGAATATTGTTTGGTAATATTGGTTTGTTTAGGTCAGAGTTCTCCGTCTGTAATTTGAGGTATTCCTGTTTGACTGAAACTAAGCTATTTCCTTTTTTTTTTTTTAAAGTTCTTTTCATGATTCACATTGTAAATGCTTATTTTGTATCATGTGTACAGTGTGTTTTGGGGTGTTTTTTTATGTCAGCGTGGGTCGGTATGGTGGTTATGGTTGTCATAATATTGTCTGATATTTTTACAACACATGCCAGTCGTTTCAGTGAGTTTGTTACAAATATCTGGAATAAAGACAGGAAACAGCACCAGTTTTATTTCAGAACCACACACCAGTGTTGCAATGTGTCATTTTAGTGTGCGTGCTGTGCGTCTTCTTTTTTTAACCACCAGCTCTAATACAATTCATGCAGCTGATTTCTCGGAGCAGGACACACAGCTTATGCATGAAACATTATTTTCTTCCTTTTCAAAATACAGTTGTAGCTGTCTTATACATTAACCTGTGGGGCAAGACTTGGGGCTAAAGGGTGCGCCGACGTCTTCCTCAGTCCCAGCTCATCTGTATCTGGGTTAGAGGTCTGCTGGGCTCGATGGATCTCCAGGTTTCTCTTCCACTGGAAACACAAAGCTGTAGCCTCTGCACCATCCGAATTTGGCTCAGGCTGCTTCAGACCCTGAAATCAGAGTGCAAGTGTTCAGTTTTAAGGAAGCAATTCATAGGGCATAATAAAAAGATGCCACTGAATCATATATTTGTAGTCCAGAGTTGCTGCTTGTGCTTGTGGTGTTGGATTTACTTTAATGCATGCTGTTTCTGCAGCTCGAACCCCACGTAAGACTGTCTGGAGCAGATTTTGTGCATTCTTTACCAGGATCTCATCAGAAGATTTGCACCCAGGAGTCACAGCATTGACACTTTGCAGGCAGAAGAAAATACTCATATTACGTTTCTTTTTTTCCCCTTTCAACATTTCTTTTATTAGTTTTCGGTGTGTGATTTCTGCTTGAAATTTCCTGACCTGGAAATGATGCTGAGCTGATTTGTGATGGTGAGAATCTGCTCAACAATTAGCGAGAGTTCAACTGCACACTGCTTGTCGAGGCTGTGGTTGGCAATAACTCTGATAAACTGGGTAACTGACTGGCAGTTTGAGATCACATCTTTGGCTGCAGAAACAAAAGCCTCTTTATTCTAAAGAAAAAAGAAACAAGATTGTAGATTAGTTTGCCTGCAAATCTAGTTGACGGTTGTGGAGGGACCTTTAGTTGGCATTACCGCTATTGGGCCTTTCTTCTTCAGATACTGAGTCATGTAACATACTGTGTCGGCCATCTTCCTGGTCACCTGGACTATTCTGTTGTCCTTGGGATCCCAGCTGTTGCTTTCTTGCTTTAGAAAAAGGGAGGTGTAGGTCAGGGAAGAGACTTCTTGGCACAAGCCAGATGCAGCACTATCCTGCAGAGAAGAATTAGGACATGGTTTATTGCGACATGATGGATTTATTACACAATAAAATCTGATCAATTATGCGATACTTACATCCTTTTTAGTATTTCCAGGTCCATATTTGGCCCCAGATGCCATATTTATGTTACTTTTTGCAGCATCTACATTTTCTTTAATGCCTTTCTGGTTTGAATTTATTGTTGTGTCAGAGGTAAATTCCACTTCTTTGACTTTAGTTGGGATTTTAGCCAAAACTTTGCTAATATCCTCAGGTGCTCTCCCCTGTAGTCCAGCCTTTATGTACTCTTTAACCTCTTGGTGAATCCCTTCTTGCTTCCTGATCTCTTCCATCACGTAATGAGCTTTTGCTGACCAACAGCGTGTCTGCACATCCAGACTGAGTGTGTCACAAATGTAGTGAGTCTCTAGCATGAGCCTCGCCCTGCAGATTATATCTGAGATCTGAAAAGACAGGTGGTCATTAATGGACCTCAGATTGGAGCGAGTGCGTGGGTCATGGATGTAATTTAAGCTGTCCTCCACTCTTCTGGTAGCAGATTTTACATTTTCAATAAGCGTTTGTGCCGCATGTTCAAACCTTTGCTCTGCATCTTCTGCGTTGTTCTCTCTGAAGTGTTCAGCAGCGAAATGAGCAATTGTGAGAAGATTTTGAAATGTAGTATCATAGTCCTTATTCACTTTGCTTAAATGACCAAAAAGCACTCGAATTTTAATCAAAAGTTTTCTCTGGAAGAATTCCGATTTTGCAAGGTGCACCACGCCTGGCATTAAATCAAATTCTTCTGCAGCTTTAAGGTAGTCCTCAGTCAGGTTTTTCAGTTCATCCTGGTATCTGGTTAACTCCTTTGATTTATAAGCACTTCTGCAGTTTATGCTTGTGAGCCTGGTTGCCTCTTGGATTCGGAGCGAGTTCTCAGACAACACTGAGAGCTGTTTCTGAGGGTTCAAATGGTTCAGTGCAGTCGATGTTCCCAAAATCTTATCCAGAGAATTAAGCAAAATCTGAATGGAGAGACTCCAGAGGATACAAAGTGCCTCTAGCTGATCTGACTGTCCTTCATATGCGGAGGAAAACTCTATCAGTTGCCTTGTGTTGTTCTGTGCTTTGGTAAGCTTGCTGTGTAAAACCCTCAATGTTTCTTGACCATCACTTTGTGTGGTTAAATCTGAAGATGTCAAGAGTTGGACCACGTCAGCACATAAAGTCATTGCTTCATTGAGTTGCTGTGCAGAACTGGCTGGTATATTTGGTAGATTCCCTTGCAGCTCATTATAAACAGTGTGATACCAGGTCCCAGCTGCTGGCAGCAAAACCTTTCGAATGTTATTAATAAGGTCAGAAAACTGTGTGCTGTGCTTAAAGATGCTCTCCGTACTCATCGCTGAGCTCATCGCCGTCTCTTGAGCTGTCTGGACGAGCAGTGGAGTCAGGGATACCAGCTCGGCCCTAAAGATTTCCAAAGTCTGACAGTCAACTGCATCGACAATGACCAAGGCCTCCTTTGTAGCTTGGGCATAACAGTTTGACAGCTCAAGAACACTGGTGCAGGCCTGGTTGAGCAGTGTCACGTCTTTCCCTTTAGTCACAGTTACAACTTCATACAAGAGGGGTAAAAGGTCAAATTTGAGAGGCTTGAGAATCAGTTTAGGCTCATCTGAGACAGCTGGGAACGTTAAATCATCGCTGTCAACTTTATGGTCTGGTTCGGCTTTTATGGGTCCCTGATCTGTGTGCTTCTCCTCATGTTTGGTTTCTCTTTCCAAAACTTCAAAAAAAGGAATATCCGAGCCTCTTAACATATCGTCCACACTCAGTTCACAGCTGTCTTTGACTGGCAGACATGGCTGTGTGATTTCGAGCTGACGAGCCCCCTCTCGCAGCGGGCTCAGGAGATGCGGATGCTGTTGGCCATCCAATCCTGATCTAAGCACCTTAAAATGCTCAATGACGGTGGAAACGCTGTCACTAAATGTAGAATATGCCTCCACGTTCAGCGTGGATCCATTAAGCATGCTTCTGACTGACTCAGCTACTTTGGCTTGAGATGACTGAACCTGCTTCAGGAGGACCAAAAGGCCGTTCCTGTAGATGGGTTCGTCACTTCTATCCAAATGCCTCCTCACTGAGTGAATCGCCAGCTTCATGTGACCAATGAGGTTTGCTGCATGTTCATTAAACTGTTCATAGCTTTGTTCTCTGTATGCTGTGTCACATCCATGGCGATCACTCACCATCTCATTAACAGCTATACTGGTGAACTCCCTAATGTCCATCACATCACTGAAAGCATCCTGAAGCTGCTCAGTCTCCTCTTCCCATTTCTGACACACTTCACGAAGCTTCTGAGCAGTTTGCATTGAATTATCTGCCAGCTCCAGCGAAAGGGGAGCGATTCGAGCCCTGAGTCTCGAAAGGCATGCTCGGGAATTTTCCACATTCTCTAAACTCTTAGCATCGAGAGCCATAGCTGAGGTAAAATTGGCGACCTGGATTAGTCTGTCAGTGCAGGAAATTAAATCCTCAACTTCCGACTGAATAAAGTTCAGATCCAGCTTTGTAGAGGAATCTAAAAGCAAGATGTGTCCTAAAAGTTGCTCAGCTGTGGAGGAAGCCGCAAGAAGTATGTCCATGACTTGATACAGAACTGTAGTCATCAAAGTTTTGTCAAGCATTAGTATTTGCTGGAGCAGGAAAATGCAGGTCTTCTCAAAGCTCTGTGCAGAATCCTCAGAAGACTTTAAAATCCTTTTTATGTCAGACCAGAACTGCAGGATGTGACGACAGTGGAAAACCACTCTTTGCTGAAAGTCTCTGCGAGACATGTTTGCCACGACCATGCAATGAAACACAAGATCTCTGACCAAGCAGTCAAAGCTGCTGTCTCGGATTGAGGAGGTGGAGGGACTAGTGAGCAGTTGTAATAGACTGTTACTTTTCCAGGTATAATACCCACAAGGCCTCAGTGGTCCTCCATGGCAGTCACTCTGGAGGGTTGCTGTAATGTCACCAACAGTATTCTGAACTTTGTCCAGAATGTACCTCTTGGCTTCTCGGGCTTGCTCATTGGTAGGGTGTTTGATGGTTGTACACATGGCTGTGTGCAGCATGGAGATGCACCTCCTCAGGGTGTCCAAGGAATCGAGGAGTTGTTTGGTTTGTCTGGGATCCCGTAAGGAATTTGCTCTCTCCATTGTCAGTCTGTTAAAGGCAAGAAGAGCCTCAGAAAACATTTGGAAAGATTTAAGAAGAGACTTGATATCTGAGGAGGAGCCAACTTCAGAGAGACACTCCAAAACCTGATCAGCAGCAGCTATAACTTTCCTTACAGCAGCATCATCATCCACCAACAGAACCTAGGAGCAGAAGGCACAAGTCACTGTGTTACTGCTGCTCTACAGCTTACTGTACCTATTTAAGAAGTATGAAAATACGGTGTCAGACTGTCAGTAAATCAATTAGTTAAAAGATTTTGGCCATGATCGAAATATTTCAACAGCTTTGACAGAATACGACAAAATGTAAACACATCCATCTATAGGCTTTGGTGAGCCTCTTTGGTTTTATGCTGCATTTGGCTGAAAACCTTCAGTGAACTGTATGAACAGCTGCCCTTTGGATCGCCATGAAATTTGGTTTCTGAGCTTCCAAACTGTGATTCAGATTCAATGCTAAAATCGTTATAATGCTCGGAATTATATGTTGCTATGCCAGCTCAGACTTTGAAAGTGAAACAGAGGAGAAAGTTTCTACATTGTCAAATAAAGTCAGTGAGTAGCTAACAGGAAAGAATTACTGTACTTAAAAATTAACGATGGAAAAAAAATGTTCTTTACACAACAGCACCAGAAGGCTAAAGATGATGGCTGAGTTGCTGAGATTCTCCACATGTGAATTAAAAACAGACGGTGTGGGAGTCTTCTGTTGTTTTTAAATAATGTCAACATTTAAGAAACCTCTGAGAAAGTAAAAGCAGATGTAGCTGCCTAAGATGAATCTAATGAAACCTTTAAGTGCTTTAACCTTATTTGTTTTCTCTCTGCTTTAATTTGGGTATAATTTTTAGGACAGTTGCAGACAGCTTTTTCTTTTCTTTGTCTACTTTACCTTGACTATTCCGAGGAAAACGTTTTGTGTAGCAGTGACGAGCTCCTCTCTGTGTTCAGTTAAACTTGGCTGGATACTCAGTTTCTGAGCTGCCAGCAGGACATGCTGCCCACACACAGCGAATGACTCTAGCAGGGAGGACATCTCCATGTGAAAAACTTCATCCTCCGTCTCACGTATTTGCCTAGAAGTAAAGAGTCTGCTGTTCATCAGATAATATATACAAACACAATTCCAACCAAGCTGGGATGCTGTATAAACAGTAAATAAAAACAAAAGGCAATTATTTACAGAGCTCACAAACTCACATTTATTCATAATAGAAGACATAAAAAATAAAATGTTTAAGCTGAGACATGTTATGAGGGAATATGAGATTAGAGCTGTTCATGAATTATTAAATAATAATGAAATAAAATATTCATTTAACAAAGTATTTATGAAATAATTGTTAAGTCTTCACTAATAATTACACCTTACTAAATGATTTAATAGACAACAAAAGGTAAGCTAATAATTCTAAATGAATTATTAAGCCATCAATAAATACTTGAAATGGAAAAAGAATTTAATTAAAAGGAACAGTGGAAATGAGCCATCTGATTGGTTATCCGGTTGTTCAGTCTGACGTCACTAGCCGTGTCTGGGTCTAAACTCCGCTGCAGGTCCATATATCAAACAATCACTGTGGCATTACTGAGAGTTGAAAAACTGTCTAAAGTCTTTCATCTTTAATAAAATGATCAGCGTTCTGCTCTACCAGGTGTAACAATTGAGTTTAACATCCAGGCATCCATGAAAACGGAATTTATGATATTTAACGGAGTTAGAAGTTAGCAGGGAGTTAGCTCGCTAGCTTCTATCTAAATACAATATAGCATGTCCTGACTGCGGGGTTTTGGAAACAAATTAAAACGTACAGCTCTGCTATCACTTCCAGCATAAATGAAGACAGAAAACTAAACAGCAGTGATGTTTGTAGGGTTACTGAAGTTGGGCTAGCTGGTATATAATGATGTGCTACGTGACCGCTAGCGACACAGCTATGTTAGCATAATATAAACAAGCTAACTTTTTTTTCCACTCAATAAAAGTTAACGTGAGTGTTCTCGGTGGTCAGAAACAAATGTAATCGCATGGCAGGATGCTGTAAAAGGACCAAACTTCAGCCAGGAGAACAACTGAGATAATCCATCCACAATACGAGGTTAGTCATTCATATACTGCTGCATGGGCTGGGCTGTAGTTACATCCTAAGGTTTTAAAAACTGAGCTTAAATAAATGATTAGCGGTAATAAAAGCCGAGGGAGGTCAACAGGGATCACTGACTGTTTTAGGAGCTTTTTGAGATCAAATAGAAGAAAATACATAACATTAAACATGTTAACAACACAAAAGCCATATTAAACGCAGACTACTTTAGACCCGGAAGTAGGATTCGTCGTGTCATCACTGAACAACCGGATTGAGAAGGGCTAGCCACCTGGATTTCTCTGTGTTTGGCCCAGTAGTATTGCTACTGCTAAGGAGAGCTTTAAAGGAAATCTTGGTGGTACACAAGGACATTTTAACTTGATCTTCACTTCCTTAAAATGTCTTAGATGATTAAATCAGGTATATGAAGAATATGACGGGACCTTAAATGAAGCCCTAATCCTCCACTAGCCTCTTGAAACTAACAACGCTAACACTAGCATCACTGCCCCACACTTTAACGCTAAAAACAAATCTGCTGCCTTCATTAAAAAAAAAAAAACATAACAAAATAAAACAAATAAATAAAATAAAAATGACTCAAGTTGTCCAACCTTGTGTCTGAAGTCTAAAGTTGCAGTGCTGTGTTTGTAGAATACCCAGTATGAAGATTAGGCTGGAGCAGATCTTTGAAGTCCTCATGTGGATTGTTAACACCTCCACCCAGTTCAAAAAGCCATTAACAGCTGCTATTTTCTGAGGTCCCCTCCTCCCTCTAAGAGTCACCAGAGGAGCCTGTGTTTCACTACCAGCAGACCAACATATTTATTTTCATTTTAATTGTTTTGTAATCACGCTTTTAAAAAACGAGTTAACACAAAAGACATTACTTTGTTGTTAAATGGTTTCTTCTTTAATTATGAAAGTGTTTAAATCACATAGCACGGTGTTTGTTGGGGTTAATTTGTCCACATTATTAGTCTACAAGTTGCTGCCTCTGCTATATTATTTTTATCCAAAGTTGGGAAACCCAGCCACTCTAAATCTGGCATTTTTACAAGATGAATTTAAGTGCTCAAATTAACTAAAATACATGTTTTTCCTGAAATTGTACTTTTTCTCAGTTCAAACATTTAATTTGTGTTCTATGTTCTATTGTGAATAATGCCTGAGATTTGCAAATCTCTGCATTCTCTTACATAAGTATTCTAACTCTTCCCCAATTTGGGTTGTATTACACATTTCAGTTTCATACAGATTAAATAATTAAATTTGATTTTCCTATATCCTCCTGAGAGCCAGCTTATTCATTTAGATCCTGTGTAATGGACATTTGTCTATATCTTGTGACTTATTTGAGCTACCCGTCTAAGTCCTGATGTCCCCAATAGAGGACATCCTGGCCTTTCCATTGATATCTTATGTGTTCGGGCGGCCTCTTTTAGCTCCAAAGATGCAGGAAATTACAAGAAAAGGTTAAACTGAAAGATACTTTTTTCCTCTCTGCAGGCTATTGCTTCATTTGAAGTATTATACATTATGATTTTCATAACAGTACATACCTGGAAGCCACTGCTGCCATGTTCTCAGTAGCTTTAGCCACAATCTGAGCTGCCCCCTCCAGCTGGCTGAATTGTTCAGGTTCCTCTGCGCTGTCACACAGCAACACCAGGCGGCATATATGAATTGCAATTGGTGCAACCACCTGCTCAACTGCTACAGTCCTGATCAACCCATGATCGAACAACGAGGACATAGTTAAGAGACTGATTCTCTCTGGTCAAAAGAAAGTGAGTACCATAAATGTTGTTGTATTCCTGCTGTATTTAGCGTGGTAGCTTTTTTAATAATTGATTTGCTCACCACAGCAGCTTGTTCTTGACTTCAGTGTTTCATAGCAACTGGTGTCACCTGATCAACAGCACGCAGCTTCATCAAGCTTTAATGTATTGACTGATTAGTTGCCATATTCTTTGAGATAATGCTTTGTTAGCAAACCTAAACCTAAATATACTATATGGTATTGAAGAGCCAGTATTGTTTATGTGACACTTCATCACAGGTGTGGTTGAACTTTTAAAGAGAGTTTTACAGTTTTCTGGCACATGGTCAGTGAAAGTATAGTAGCAAATTATTAGGATCTTCAAGAAGATATGGGAAAACTCTTAGCAAAATAGAAAGAGGACATTAGAACATTGAATATTGTACATAACATGTTGTTTCTGACCAGGGTTCCTTTAAAATGCATTCACGTTATTTTCAGTGCTTAAGATATGAGCTAATTTGGATTTTTTTTATACTTTCAGGTTAAATGGTAGTCTTTTCTAAAACTCATGATATTACACCATCATACTGTATCAATACATTTGTATAAAAAGTCATCAGCACCCAACGAATCCACTGTAGCCCTTTAAAATAAAGATAAAGTTTTGTAGCCCAAAAGAACAAAAAATCAATGATATTTAATTCCCAATGACACAAGATCAAAATATAAATATATATTTGCCATTTTGGGGATTTTTAGCTGATCAGAATGGTCATTTTCTGTGGACTGGTTGTTATTTCAGCTCTAATAATCTAAGAACATCTACTTATAAATGTACTTAGTGTAAATGATCAGTGAAAAGTTTATTAAAATATATTTTTAACAGTATTTCCCCCCAAATAGCATTTTCTAAAAACCTGAACAAGCAGTTTTGTGTTTTTCCCCATTGTTGAATTTTGTTTGGTGCGACTGAAGAAAAGCTGCCAGCAGAGAGCACCATTCACCACAAATAAGCAGCAAACACTGGAGCCACGTTGATAACAAGAGACTTCATTCTAAAATTCATCAACAGATAAATATACAGCTGGAACATGATTTTAAACATCAAACGTACAGCACACTATAATGGAAATGATATTCAGTGACAGTAGTATACTCAGAACAAAACCCCAAATAACGATGCGATTAAAGGTGACAAACATAAAAACAAAGTATAATCATCACAGTTAAACTTTACCAAAAAAAAAAAAGAAAAAAAAAGTCAAGTGTTGGTTTCTCTGCATTAATACATAGCAACAGTTTAACAGATGCAGAGGGAAGGCGTGGATGTGTACAGTATACGCTGTATTACCAGTGGAAGTAAATGGTGTCAGAAGATCTATACAGCACATTTTAGAGCGAAGCAATCATAGTGATCAATAAAGTGACGATAAAGTTTTAGTTCTTTGGCATTGCACGTTTAAATCTGACTGGTCTACTAAAGAAATTACCAAAAGGTACTTTATACTTATATACTGCATATCTATTTTAATGTAAATCTTGTCACCCAATGCTGATTGTTAAAGCTTTTGACTCTTAAATTGAATTTTTTTTGGAGCATAATTGAAGTTTTTGGGTTTTTTTTTAAAGATTACATGAATTTATCTGTTTGTTCAGCTAGATAGGGTTGCAAATGTGCAAAGTACAGACACACAAAACTTTGCAGTTAACATCAAAACAAAGTTCAAAAATGGGTAGGGTATGACCTATGAGTACTGAGCAACAGGTGCCAGAAGTAGGGGGACCAAGGCACCAGCGATTCCCATATTACCACATTTTAATTTTCTCACTGTTTATATATTTGTGGGGAGCTTTAATACTGAATTTGCTAATGTCTTATTTCAATCACAATTAAATCTAGTATTTAAAAGAACTGACAAGCCTGCAGGGGGGAAAAAAGTTTTAGCAGAGAGGAGCTGTGGGTTCATATGGTGGCGAATTTTTCAGGGCACTGACATCCCTCAACCCTGGCTTAAAAGTAACTTTTCCCAGGAGCCCCAAAGAGCTTGTATACTGTATGTGTAGTGATTGAGTGCAGCATATTCTCACCTATTTTTAGGGCATTACTCATACCACGACAGTCTTTCATCTGGCTGTGTAGAGCAACAGTATCTCATATTTCACACTATAATCCAATGGCTGATAACATAACAGTAAACTTAAAAATGGTAAAGTCTGAGAAGGTTTTGGAAATAAATCGTGATCAGGTATTTCAAGAACAATAGCTAATCCTTTTCTGCTGTATTTCAGTGAGAATTTACAAGACATTCAGCTAAACTATGTTCACTTGAGCCTGGGAGGTTTGGCCGTCCATTATAAAAGTCTCCTTGCATACCTGAGCAGTTTTTGCTCCTACCAAAAGCAGCTTTACGTCAGATTTGCTTGACTATACATTCCACTTTCAAAACTCATGGTATTTTGAAACATTTTAAAGAATAAAGATTTAAGTTTAATCTATGAAATAATAGCTTTTGTATATTATCATCTACCAGCGAATCAGCTGAAAGCCAGACCAGAACAAAAGGAATGATCTTTTAACCATCTTTTGCATTTTAGGCATGGTTAACAATGGAAACATGAAAAAAGCGGTCATCATGAAGACAGAGAGAGCCCTCACAGTGTGTCACAAATGGAAACACTAGTGCATTGCGTTGGGACAGGGTGCGGGTACTGTAGCATAGAATTAGCTCTGGCTGATTAGAAATGTGAGGGGATGGGCAATCAGATGTGTAAAACAGATTTTCATCAGCCAGCAATAGTACAGAAAAGATACAATCTTTCACTCCCAGCATCTGGGATGAACTGAATATACAAATGATTCCAATCATGTACTCTACTGGACATATCTTTGGCACAAAAAGTAAATCTAAGGGGCCAAGGCATTCATTCTTATCAAACATCAGTGCTTTTAAGAAAACATACCGTAGATATAGTATGTTTATAATGGCATTCAAAACCCCAACTCTTTTCAAAGCTCACTTTTACACAATATGGCTTAAAGTATATGTATAAAAATAAATTTGCTATGTAACACAGCCCTGAGGGTTTTCTTGTCCACCAGTATTCATGCCGTCTCCACATCCCTGTACGGATGTGAGCCTCCATCAACAGCTCTGCTCTGCTGGCTGGGTGATACCTCCTTTGAGATTAGCTGAATTCCACAGCAAGTGTCCACTGGCAAGCCACCTTGTCACCTCAGAAGCCTGTTTCCTGGACTCCCTCCCTCCTCCCCCCAAAAATATTAAGTCTCCAAAAAATATGGAGAATATTCTCCTCTTCCACATATGGAAGACTGAAGGGCCCAATGCCACAGGGGGCGGCTGGGCTGAGAGACCCTGTGCTATTGGATCTTTCGCAACCGAATCCCTAATCTCACTGGCTCCTCTGGGACTCCCGTTGTAAGTCTCAGTGGTCCTTATCCATCCAGTCCCAGCTTTCATCGCTGTCCTTTCTGTTCTTTTCAGCCTCAATGATCTCTCTGTAACGTCGACGGAAGAATCCCATCTGTCAAAGAGTGAGAGGAGTAAGAATTTAAGTTAATAAGCTGCATCTGTGGTTGTATCTGACTTGCAAAAGAAAATATTCATTTCAGTCAGCAATTACAGATCACATTCGCTTTACATTGCTGCATAACATTTTCAGACACATACCAGAACTTTTTAGCATATACCTTTTCTCTCCAGAGATTGTCATTTTTCAAGCAAAACATAACATAGGTAATTCATAGCTGTGACCTAGAGTTACACCACTAGCTGATTTTATCGCTCCATATTAGCTTATCACGTACATATATTTTGGTACAGGCAAATATGTCTCAAATATAACATTTTTGTCATATCTGATACCCTTGCTTCCTCTCTGAGCAGAGAGGTGTGAAGATAACACTAATTTTTGTACTGTAAATACGTTTCCTGCTACTTTGACCTGCTAAGGCCGTTAAGCTAGGTATTATATTCTCCTGTGAAAGAAATATACCTGCTTAAGATACAATTTTACATTTCAGTTTTAACATGAAATAAATAAAAACATGTGTCTTAAAGTTGCTTTTAGATGACATGACGAGTGTCAGGTTAGCTTTTTCCTCTTGTTTTTAGTTTTTGCGTTAAGCTCACGCTGCTGATTTGTTAGCTTAGCGCAAAGTGTTGCTCAGTGTTGCTCTTTTTTTTAAAAAGGTAGTAACAGTTATATATTTGTTATGAATACATTTCAGGAATCTTTTTTTTTTTTAAACACTAGCTAGTTATTTTGCAGCTGTTTTTCAGTATCACCCTAAAAAAAGTATTTTGGCTGTAGCAGGAGAGGTTTGTGAGTGTGGACGCATGACACTGAGACAAACTGCAGCAGCCTTTTTTTAATGCTAGAAAATCAGGATTTGCGCAACACCATTGTCTTGCTTATCTGCTGGATTTGGTTTGACATATTACGTAATAGCAATGCAATTCACTGGCTAACTCTCAGGAGTGTCATTGGATGGGTGGCCAATTGGACAATTTATTTAGAACGGCTCTTTCTTTGAGCAGCACTTTTACAGAAATTACATAATTTTTGTTAAGCTAACAACTCAGACCTTGAGTTCACTGTGATGGATTATATATCTAAGTTACAGAAATGTGCAAGTTAATATTTTCTCCCACAGTGAAACAGATGGAAAATAATGAATCTATGAGGTGTGCAATTTATTTCAAATATAATGGATTGAAATATGGCCAACAGCAATGTAAGTAAAACCACATGAAACCACCACCAAGGTTTGACAAAACTCAAGCATTTACCTTACTGAAACATTTCTTTAGGAATGTAATACTGACTACCCATTTAAATTTCATGAAAGTATAAGATTCATTTACCAAGTGTAGTATGTATGAGATATGACAATGTGGTAAGACCAGTAGATTCTTGGTGTGTATCTAATCAAAGCAGCCACACTGGCTTGCTGCCTCTCTCCCTACGACTCCATTCATTTATCT